GAATCTGGTTTTCGAAAGGCGGACTCTGCTCTAAAATTCAGGCAATAGAATGCTGTTTCAGCCTCATGCAATATGAGGCTGAACAACAGCCTCGCATTACCTCAGTTTTGTCTTAGGATTCAAAATAAAACTCCTCGTTCGATAACCATGTATGACATGCAACTTCGTAAGAAGGAACACAATCGAAAGAGCGACTAATGGTGAACACAATGAGCTATACTGGTGAAAAATTGGCCCCAAGGTTCAGCGTGCAAGCCTCAGAGTGGTGCATGCAATGAAAGGTGACGGGGAAATCAACAAACATGAACGACACAACAAAGCGAAACATGAAAAATAAAAAAATGCGGAGCCAAATGAAAAAAGGATAACCAGGCGGCAGTAAATCGTTCTATACTTGGCTATTATCGATCGCAAGGTCGCAACCGCTTTCGCTGCAAAAACGTCATTGGAGCGCGGTAACTCGAAAGTCAGCGTCCTGGGGTCTTTTCAGGAGCTTATATCTCTTTTAGGTGCGGAGCTTTTGAGGAATGGTGAGCAGCATGCAACGGCAAAGTTTCTACTGTTGTGTATTCTACCTAGTTGCAAACTGAACAAATATTCCGGATGGGTTTTGGATAGGCTAGGGGTAAATGGCAAGCGGGTTTTTATGCTTCACACGAGGACTACTTATTTCGAACGCAATTTCATCAGGATTGAAATCGTTGAAACCGCCCTATCTTTTCTCTTTCCAATAAGCTTTACAGTTTTCCTGAAGACCCGCTAGTTCAGGAGGTCAGACGCGCTACCCTCTGACCCACCCGAAAAATCGACTCCTTCTGTGCCATTGTGAGGATACACCTTCGAAAACTCCAAAACACATATTTCCCTTCAAATGAGTGAAAGAGGAGCTCGGCTATCACTGATCGATTTGGTCCGAGTGTGCGCCGTGCATTACGCTCCTACGCAGAGGTGGTGGAAAGGTGTAAATTCTAATTTCAGGTGCTTTTATCCATGCAAGCAGATGTTTGTTTAGGGTTTGGAAAGGACAATACGCACGAATCTGTTTGAGACGTATTATTTAGTCATCTACGTACTTACGAGTTGATGCTGTTAAAGACAGCCCCCGCGCTCGAGTAGTACATGGTCGTCCTTCCTTGTGCAAGTAGTACAGCCCCCAAGCTAGAGACTGTCCCACTCTATTCGTCTGCACAGCGAGCGAGAAGCGAGCTACAGCCGCTGTAAGTTCTAGTTCTAACGCCTGCTCAGTTGGACCGCCTTACTTGCTAGATGTCCTCCGACGGAGGCCACTCAGTTGTTCTTAGTCGGGGCGGCGGGCATTGCTAATGCCCATGGATAATTCTGCTCCCCTTTATTACAGTTTACTCATTGGAGGTATATACATTCAATTCAACTCATTTCGCGAGGTGAAACGCGTAAAAAGCACGAGTGACGCAATTTTCGTGATGCAAAACCTCGACGCACAAAACGTGCGCTACCGTAATCCCAAATTCAGACACCGCGTTGATAAAATTCCTTTTTCCTTCCAAGAGTTTTTCCTCTGCGTTTTTGTTGTTTTCTTTTTGTATTCTTTTTTTTGCACTGGATGATATCAACTACTGCGAGATGTGATAGAGAGATTTGTGAGCTAGGGGTTGCACAGAGACCGCAGGGAGGTGTGACTGTGAGGGAGCGATTTTGTTGGTGTTCTGGAGGACGCTTCTTGCTTTTTTTCTTCTTTGGGAGATTACTTATCAGCTACTGTTTCATAATTGGAAAGCAGCTATCCATGAGACTTTTATCGCAGGTAACTGATATCTGTTTATTTATTTATTTATTTATTTATTTATTTATTTATTCTTGATACTTGCCATATTGCTCATAAATTTTTACTATTTTGTAGTCCTATTTACATTCGCGTCCCCCGCGGCCAAGTACGAACCTATTAAGTAGTTTTGGTTATTTTGCATGAAAAGAGGGCTGTTAAACGTAGCAGTTCAATCTGTAAAGAATACACTCATAATAATTTTCATTTTTTTTAACATCTTCAACTTCCATAGCTCCACTCCCACTATCTGAAATGTCGAAGCATTGCCCGGCTCTGAGTGACCCTTGAGATTACGACCCCCCCCACTACGGATGCTGTACCCTGAACACTGAAGCAGCAGCAACGCTCGAGACAGCTGGCCAAAAGGGGCTCGCTCCGAATCTGCCTTCGCAGGACAGATTTAAAGAACTGGTTGGCTGCATACTGGTGTTGCTGGTGGACGCGCTAGATGGATATCTATGCTTTCCTAGTAGCTGACGCTGTCAGGCTCGAAACGCTGGTATACGGTACCACAAAGTATGAACGCAGCCTGAACGCGGCTCTGTTGCTATTATAACCCACCTGATTAGCTCTACTTCCGGGTTTGAAAGCCTCTAGTTTAATTTGGAAAGAGAAGCCAACGTTTGCAGTGAAAGAGGTACTATAGGCGGTCCAGGGCTAGCCGGGGTTCTTTTTTGCAAATATTTGTCAACATTATGATTCATTTACTGTTTTCCCTGTTCTTAGATCTTTCCATATTTAGCACGCCGTGTTGACAGTACTGGATGCAGAGTCACGCCTTGATCGGGATCGTGTTGTGCTTTACGGTGCCTCCCATGGTGGATTCCTGGTATCTCATCTCATTGGGCAGTACCCGGTTAGTTTTTTTTTTCAATAAAGGGATGAAATGCTTTCGGGAGAACATGTGAAAACACACATGAAAAGTCTAAAACGCGAGCACTATAGCTCTACAATTCTAATGAAACTTGGCTCTTAGTCCACCCTGGACAGCTCGGGGAAAATAGACTAGTTCGGCGATTCCTAACATAGCCCTATCGAGTGCAAGCAGCTCCTCAAAGAAAATACGTACACCTGCTCTTTTGATTGACCTCCAAGTATATTTCCGTTGATTCCTCGGAAACTGTGGCTGTCCACAGCTGTACATTGAGATAGGTAGGACTACGCTCGACATTGATCAATCCTTTTCTGATAATGAGATGCGCCGTTTCTCAAATATCATGATGTTCTCAACGCGTGTTTGACCCGTGGACTCCAGCTTATCGGAAACTTAGTGTTTATGTCTGCCGACAGCATATGCTTTAGCAGCATTCCAGGTTCCTATGTGGGCCTGGGCCGAGATTCGGTCCTGAGCTCCATCCGCAGTTTGCGTGGTTGACCTAGAGACGTTGTCTTAGCTTGAAATGAAGAAAATGTGCGGAAATGAGGGCGGGATTTATAGAATAATCTACATTTTCAACGATATTCTATTATTGTCAGGATTTTAATAAAGTCCCTGCGTCGCACACCAAATCCAGTACATATGGTTTGCGATGTAGAAATCACCGACATACCGAATGTAAGTGAAAGAATTTTCTCACTAATTGGCAGTCTTTCACCTACTCAACTAAACAGGCAATAGTTCGCGACCCCACAGATACGAACGCAAAGTGGCAGACTGATTAAAGAGGAAAAAAAAAAACAGAAAAAATCACTGTCCCGAAGTGCGTCATAGTTCGGCTCTATGGCGACTGCAACTTGTATGTATGTACATGCATACACTGACGAGAAAGCGTGTTTGTACGGATTAACATGCGTTTTTATCATAACGATTCAGCTCTTCGCCCTTATAACCACACTCACCTTTTGAATAGAGAGGGTGTTAGTAGATGGGCCATTAGGCCACTAGCTAGCAGCCGCTGGGGGTTTGTGTGATCCTAAGGGGGCTCGTGGGCCTAGTCGTTCAGCTTCCACCTTAATTCTTGCAAGTTATCACTTTTCGAATGTAGCACAGTCTCCACGATCGCCTGCCGGGTCATCCTACTTATTTGAGAGATTATAACTCACAAGGGAAGGTACTCAAGTCGAAATGGCCGTTTGCTAATGCACATGTGACTCACTAGCTGGTTTTTGGACCCTGAGTCTCGAATCTGCCTTTGAAATTTGCAAAGCGATTCTCTGAAAGGGAATTGTGATGGCTTGTTAGAATTAAAATGAAGGAAAACGGAGTCGAGTGTGGTTGCCAGCATTACGCAACGATGAATAGCCGGGACAGAGAACACTTCTGTCAACGCGTGGCATGCGTGTGATGTGCTCGCTGTTTGCCGAGGCATTACGCGATGAAACGGGTCGATTTCCAGAAAGGAATCCTCTTTTGGCATTTTGTGGGAATGTTTCCTTCTAAATTCTAGAAAACCCCCAAACGCCAAATGGGTGCCATATTAGTGTTCAGGGAGCAAAGCTACCCTTGGAGACAAGTTTCTAGCCTGAAGTGACGTTTTTGAGCTAAGTATGAAAGTACGTAGCATTGATCGAATGATGTCACGCAATAGTTTAGTTCCAGGGCCAGTCTCCTTGTCATTCTTCTTTGCGTTGCAGAATTTGTTTTTAGGATACAGGAAAACTGAGCAGTCAGAAAATGAATGCGTAAGAAGTCGGCCAAAGGACGACCGCTTTCGTCAGTTGAATGTATCTGCAGCCGAATACGTGTGTACATCAACTTAACTAACCCATGGATGCTTCACTTTTCGAAGTCAGGTCAAAATAGCAGAACTGGCTAGAAACCTCTTCTAACAGCGTAGTTCGCCCCGATAAACACGAATATGGCACCCGTTCAGCGCGAAAACGCTTGCACTGCGCGCCAAGGGCACCTGTACATCCTAAATTCTCCTAGATCATGATGCACTAAGCGCGCCAGTAAGCGAACGCAAACTGTTTTTCAGGCAAGTCAAGGAGAGCGCTAATGTAGAAGCGACGCCACAACCACTTTTTGCCACGTTTGCGCTGGAAGCAAAAAAGTTAAGCTCAGCAGGGATCCGATCCCATGACCTGTTGCGTGGTAAACGCGGAGGGAAAAGCTCCATAACTCCGTTCAGAGAATCGCTTTGCAAATTTCAAAGGCAGATTCGAGATCAGCGTCCAAAACCACGTCTAGTGAGCTACATCTCATTACAAATGGCCACTTCGACCTGACGACCTTCCCTAGTTAGCTTGTCGCGAAATGCCTCCAGAAAAGGCTTACCATAGAAGGTAAATACACTATAGCTGACTGAGCAGCAGCTTTCTCCATGTTTAACATATGAGTGCTATAAGGCTACAGCGTAAAAGCCGTTAAAGACAAACCCCCGCGATTGTTTGTTGTGGATAGCGGATAGCGTCAAATGACTATCCAGGGAACAGAAAAGCAAGCAAGATAATGGATGCAAATAACACTCTAAATCAGAACCTGGCAGCCGATTCGGAACAGTTCTCCGGATCCGCTCGTTTTGCGCCTGCAAAGCGATATCTTGCCGCTTCTGACTCATAAATAGTCTCTTCTGACTCATAAATAGTCTCTTCGCGTCATAGAATGTTACTACTACATAAAAGAAAAAAAAGAAGACATGGTGTAACAAAATTAACTAGTGACGCGAAACAGCCTTTGAAGATGGCCGCAGATAATTTTTGAGACTGAGGACCAATCTACTTTTACAAGGAGTAACGCCCAAGGGTTGCTCGAGCACGGGGTCCGTTTTGAGCTGAAAGGGTAAGAGTGGTCCTCATGGCGTTTGGAACTTGTATTACAAGCGGTAATCAATGAGGAGCTGAGCCAATATGCTGGATATTGTTAGAGGACTAAATAGCGAGGGTTCGCTCAAGTTTCTGTTTACATGCAATCTGCGCTATCCATCGCCTCTATAGTAGTATGACGATTTCCAACAAAAGAAGCGGTTTCGCCCTGCTAATCTTTTGCCGTCAGCAATGGAGGAAAGGAATGGTACTTCCAGTACTAAGCGTCGGTGTAATTCGTGATACAGTTAGATTATACCTAGTGACATTAGGGTGAGACATTCTGTTCCAATACCAGATTCTTCCAAGCTTGTATTTTAAGGACGTTGGTTGAGGGTACAGGAAAAGAAGGCGACTGGACGAAAGTGCTGACTGAAAAACAACAAAAAATGATGTTCGATAGTTCCCCTATCGCTCATGTGGATAAGGTTTGTTTGCTGAAATTTCCATTGCTCTGATCTTTTGCTCTCGTAGAGTTACCGCTACATGTTCATAAGGTAAGTTTTATCTCAGGTTATCACCCCATATCTTCTACTCATCGGTGAGAAGGATCTGCGGGTGCCTCCTCATTATCGCGCTTTCATCCGGAATCTTCTAGCTCGAGGGATCCCATGCAAGTACGTGGAACTTATAATTGCAGTAATCGCTAACTGCAGCGATAAACAGAAATTTTCAGCTATGTTAGAACACCTTTATTGCTTAAAGGCAGTTGGCACGATAAATCCCCCAAGACGTCTAGCTGTATTACATCGCCTTGGCAGGTAACGGAATTCCGCGACCGCTGGGAGGCGCTGCATAATGCCTTTTCCGGAGAGCCTTAAATACCGGACGGTGTCAACCACAACATTTGGAGGCCGACGCCAAACGCCCTCACGATCCGCTAAGAGCGCCACTAAATAGACGACCGTTTCTGACGCTCGTATTCATTCATTTGCTAAGCAAATTATGAAGCAAAGGGATTGGTATGAAGCGGCCGTGATGCTGCATGCATACATGGGTACACATATGCAGCCGTACCTTCGGTAGCGGTTATTGGCAAGATGCCTACAGGAACTGTCGCGAAATTGTTTCAACAAATTGAAGGACGGAGCTCCTTCTCGCAGGATGTTTGACGCCTTTCACTCCATTTTTGCCATTTCCCCACAATATAGCGCGCCCCTACAGGCATTTCAGCTGAGCACGCGAATCATCCCGTGCACAACTGGCCTCTAACACTTCGTGTTGTTCTTGAGTCAGGACTCGTCGATTAACTGTCATACGACAGCACAGGCGTAATATAAATATTTTTCCAAAAAAAACGCGACACAGGTCCAAAGCACGGCCCATTTATAGGCTGCTTCAGCTACTACAGTATAGTTGCCTCCATGGTAGCCTTGGCCTTGAAAACAGTTCCCGCCATCTCAGGTGGATAGTGGCGTTCAGTTATGAACGTGTAGTCGCTAAGTGACCCTTCAGGGGAGAAAAGCGAAAAATCATGGAAAACATTCTTTGGCAGCCTCATTGTACGAGTTCTTCGGACCTGCTTATTCACTGGAAGGGAGGGGCAAGATAATCGTAAATTGCCGCTTCGTCGCGCGCGGCAGTGGGTGCGACGTTTCCTCACTTTGCACTACCGTTTCGATTAGAGCATAGGAGTTTATGTAGATAAGGACATGGTGGACATTGTGTCTATTTTTGGTAATACATCGTCCATTCCCGACCAATACCACCTAAAATCGTCGTCATTGGCGGGCGCGACGTCGCACGCGACGGCCACTGGCGGCAAATCACAATGCTCTTGCCACATACCCTATTTTATGGCCCAGCAGATGGCGATAATGCCTGGGCCGCTGACTCGACAATGGTTTCTTCACATCATCCTAACACATATATATAATCCCGCTATATTGTGTGTGTGTGTGTGTGTGTGTGTGTGTGTGTGTGTGTCACGAAATTCATAGCGCCCGTCCCAGTAGCTGTAGGAAGTTGATTCCGGGCAATGATATAGAGGCTATGACGGGAACATTATTGGTGGGTGACAGGGAGTGATATCAGTTGATAAGATCCGATAAGAGACGTCTGAATGGGAGGGCCATCGGGTCCATAGTGCAGGACACAACAACAATGGGACGTTGGTTCCAAGGTATGGTATAAGGTGTGGGACAGGAACATTATTGATAGGTGACAGGGAGTGATATCAGTTGATAAGATCCGATAAGAGACGTCTGAAGGGGAGAGCCATCGGGTCCATAGTGCGGCACACAGCAACAGTGGGAGGTTGGTTCCAAGGTATGGTATAGGGTGTGATACAGGAACATTATTGATGGGTGACAGGGAATGATATCAGCTGATAAGATCCGATCTGCGAGGGGAGTTAGAACGAGCAAGGTCGCCCACGACTTCACCACGCAGGACACCAGCCCTCAGCTAGAGCTGATTTAGAAAACTGATAGGTACCGGTGGGATGTGGGACTCGAGCGGCAAGGTGACAGGCTCTGATAGCCCCTAGAAAAATGAGACCTCATGCCCACTAATGTCCGAACTCGCAAAGTCGACGAGCGGGGGCGGGGGTACGGTAGTTCGCATGAAAGGAAACACAGGAAAAATTCGAGGAGAACCGAAAAACATGAATAATGTGGCACTTCATGCGTTCAATAGCACTTTTTACTTTTGAACTTCCAATTGCTGATTAGATCGCACAACAAGGGCTCATAGTACCTACAAATAGTTATAGTTCAGCGGATTGCAAGCTAAGTGAAAAGGGAAACGTTCATCGGTAGGCATTTCGGTGCAGGGAATGGAAACGAAATCTGCTTTTTACTGAGCGATTCATACTGCGCTGTATTGACCTACTACACATTGTGTCTATATCTACAGATTTATGTTTTGTATGGGCGTAATGGCGCGGACCACAACCCCTGCCCCTGCAGCAAATAGAAGCGTGTGCTAAG